GAGATGAGAGCAGCCACAGGACAGACGACAGTTATAGGGGGTTATTAGCTGATCAACGACGAGTCCTGCAAGCCGGGAGGTGACTCCGCAGGGCTTTTTATACCGGCTCTATCACCGAACAGTTTGCGTCAGCAGCCAGACACTGTGCTCTCGTCAGCACACATCAAGTGCCAAATGAGGCGCTTTGCAGAGCCGGTGAATCTGTCGCACGCATGAAACGTGGCGATCTATGATAACTCCTTTTTTTCAGAAGTCTTGACTTCTAACAAGGTTCAAAGCATTTAAGGTGGTAACCGCTACGTGCGCCCTGCATGGTCTTCTATTTTGCGTGAGCACCACCGCTGTAGCTATACTTTCAGTAGGTGTCCGTTTTCGTGAAATATCGACCGAAATGTTAAAATATGGTTATGATCAGAGAGGACTATTAAAGCGGGGTCTGACGATTCCCTAACATGCAAAAGAATCACAATGTATTTCATGCATGATAGGATGTTGGCTTCTGATTGTTCATCCTTCCAGTCACTTAGGAAGATTTCACTCGCTAAAGTGACTGTTTAATTGGTGTGCTTTCCTCCCTTGATCTTCGATGACTATAAATCCCAACATGTTTTAGGGGGGACACATTAAAGCATCCTTCCGTATGTTTGTTTTGTACCAGATCACGCCTTCTTCATATTTTCTACTCAAAGAAAAACCATCTTCTGATTTTAGGAAGCCTACTAATTCCCGAAAAAACCCTGACTCGGGGCTTTCTATATTACATCTGTGCATTTTACATTCGGTAAAATCATGTGCTGTTTTCAAGCTTCAGTTAAGCCTCACAAAGCTTTGCAGGAGATATGACTCCAAAAACATCGGTGTTAAATTTCAGATAAGAAAATACTTGAGAAAGCATTTCACGTTCTCAAAAGTTCTCCCAATTACAAACTTTTTTAAAGTCGATAGTCGGTACTTTACCAATTGTAGAAATTAAAAAGATGTTATCTGTTATACTATGATTGTATGAAAGGAAACTTTTTGCCCATGGTACGTCCAAATTTATAAGGTCATCGAAAATCGGCGCGAAAAGACCATGCCACTTAACTCAACATGCGCTACTCCAAGATGTATATACTTGTCATTTCAACGACACTGCTGTATGGAACAGAGATCTGGATTATCTACAAGCGACAAGCGTGGGATCCTAATCACTTCTATCCTAGCCGCCTCCAGAAGCGCTGGAGTTGCAGGACAGGATTATCGACACAATATTCCTGGGACAAACCTGACTCCTCAGCATCCACGTCATGTTGAGTTAACACCAACTGCGATGAAGCAACCACCTCGGGAAGATGGACAATGTGGGTGTTCGCGGAGGAGGCAGACAGACAAGGACAAGGACACCCTCAACAACTCATTGGAGCACTTGCGAATCAACCCGAAGGCCTAGAAGAACCTCGCCCGGGACCGACCAGCCAGGAGAAGAGCAGTGAAGACTAGAATAGCACCCTAGGAAGTCAACCAGATCACTTCAGCCAAAGCCGGAGGAAAGGCTTGCAAATCACAAGTGCCTCTGATACACAACGCCAACACCCAAAATTTTCCAACATGTCCACGCTGTCAGCGAACATTCTGAACCCGAATCGGCCTCGTCGGGAATCTCCGGACCTACTAAAACAACCTAGCAACCCTGCCCGTTGCCTCAACAATCCCCCCCCCCTCCATCGTTACTCCTGCACCAATCCCACGGCGACGATCGTCCCCACCACCGGTGATCACAGTTCTGATGAGCCGGCGCCGCTGTCGGCAATCACCGCCTCTTTCGTTCCAGCCTTAACCCCATGACGAAGACGGCCGCCTCTTCCAGTTCTGCCACCGATTGAAACACTCCCGAGGCCCCGTCAGCGACCACGCTCACCACTATGGTCCCCATCACTAACAATGTGGACTCGATACCAGCCAGTTACCATTGAGATCGCGCCTCCACATCACGCATCGGTCTAGTGCGTCACTTGCGAATCCATCTCACTGCGACCGGTGAACCGGGGTCTGGAGCCCCCACATACACTTACCGCATCCTCCTTCACTGTCCATGCTGCCCACGCAAATTCACTCATCTCATGGGCCTATTCAGCTACATGTATACCCACGACAACGAAATTCACCGCAATATCGACACACCAAGCACACCTTGCGTACCCAACAACTCGTCCATCCCGGCATTACCCATTCATTAGCGTGATCAGAACTTGCAGCAACAGCAGCACCGCAACCGACTCTGCGGTCTCCAAGCTACCCTACCCACATTGCCATCGCACATGCACATCGCGCTCTGCTCTGGTCGGTCACTTACGAACTGGCGAATCGGTGCCTGGAGTACCAACATAAACTCATCAACATCAGCTCAATTGCTCGCACTGCCCACACGCGTTCAACCATCGCATGGGTCCACTCGGTCACGTGCCTCTATGCTAATTCGTGGTAAATCACTGTAGACTGGACAACGTCGGCACACCTTTTCCTACGGATACATGCACCATTCGTGGACACGTCCGATATCACACGAAACAGACACTTCTCACGTAAGTGGAAGGTGTGTTCTTTGGCTCCCCCATGCAGCCCCTCTGCTAGATGTGAGATCCGATCAGTCCATATCCCTTGTGTGTACGCGTGGAGCCAGGTCGTACGTGTGGCAGGTGCAGGCAGGTTGTTCCTAGCTCTATCATCCACATCTCCCAATCCCAGCATCAGTTGATGGACCGGCTCGGAAAACCGATGGGTGCACGCAAAATGGAATGGATGGTGATGTCGGCTGTTAGCATATTTTCTTCACTATAAAAGATTTCACGCGCTTGAGATTATCACGGTGCACTTAAAGCACCACATAGGCCTCAGTCAAGAAAGCAAAGCAAACTCAGCGACCTTTTTGACCTCATTTCTAAAGCACCCGTGCTAGCATTTCGAAAACTACAAGACGGCATGCCAATAAAACGGATTTTGGTGCGATTTAATAAACTAGAGGAACAAAGGGAAGTATCACTCTCCTGTGTGGTTCCCTAAAACCCAACAGTTTCTAGTAAACCCTATTTAAACACAATGTCGGTACACAAGGTAACACCAATCGTTGCGTGTGTTAGTAGAACAAAATTCATACACGCGGTGTCCACTCACTCTCAAGATTCTGAACAGAGATTACAGCTATGCGCTAGGAAGTTGACTTTGTGTAGCCTTTGTCTAACTGGCGGTTTACGGTAGGACTGAAATCCTCTTCTACACTGTATGCAGCAAATTCCAGGCAACATTTCAACGGTAAGGGCGGTTTGAATCTCACATAGGCGAGGATACCATAAAGGCAACATTCCGAAGGAACTATTGCTGGCTGACACCCAATTCTGAGGAGGACTGAGCTATTCGGTCAGTTGGAAGCCTTGCAAGCCATGACTCTTATCGCTCCGGGCTAGATTCAAGCGCGTGAGACTTATTTTATGGGGGCTGTGCTGATGTTTTGAAATGATGTACACATCAGTGAAGGTCCAATCCCCTTCTCCCTCTACTATGCCCAGTCGACTGTCCGAGTATGTGGACCAGCTAGTATTGAAATTTGGCGTTATGCCTGACACGGACTCGAAGCGTGCCGTTAGTAAGTCTGATCCACTTTTTGATTTAACGCATCTGCAGTGCTACTCGCTACCAGGACTCACCTCTCCAGTCACACCACATCTAGTTAGTGTGCGCTTGACGAGGGTGATTTGACTGTTCTCTTCTTTCAAATTGGTTATGCATGAGCAAAGTAAAGCCGGCCAACACATACACTTTATGTGTCATCGGAGATACTATGAACATATGTCGAACGAGTCGAGAAGGGAGGAGAACAAAGTATGGCTGCTTGTTACTATGAATGGGAGCCTGTCCGTAAATATGCCTCTCATTCGATGTTTACATCCACAAGGTTGCGGACATTCGCATACAGTAGGGGTTATTTTTCATCTTTCAGAGCTTACTCCTCTAGTCAGTTTTTTTATTCTGCAACTTACTATCCCGAAAACTCGACTTACTACGGTTGAAAATGACTCTTACTGGACAGTCGACTGACTATTTTCAATATCGGGTGCTCAAAAGTTCTAGTATTAACGTTCAGTAAGATTGACAGTTCGAACGTCATTTCCGACAATGTCCATCGTGTGCCCCACAGCCAGATGAATCAGGAACGTTAACATGCGCGTGAATTAGTTTATAGTGATAGTAAACTTGACCAACATCTACCTCACTCTCTCCTCCTCCCCCACTCGGACCCGGTGTCAAGACATAGTCAAGAAGACCGGAGGCGGGGAGGGCACAGGTGGATAGCGCGGCCGAGCCCGCACCTTGGCACTCCACTCCACACCCCCTGGTCCGCACAGCAGGTGACTAGGTTTTTTTAACTAACAACAACGATGGCGGGGAACTAATACGGCCAAATCCGCACCTAGGCGTGCCGCCCACACCCGTCTCGGATCCCACGCAGTGGGAGTGCCATAAAGGCCACACTAAGAAGGAGCCATTGTAGTCTGACTCTGGTCACTCTAAACAAATACACAACAGTGGGCCGACTGCGACATCCAGATTATCCCGTCAGTTGACAACCTCCCAAACCACTGCTTTTATCGCACCGTGATGGCTTCGAGCGCGTCAGATTGTTTATAGTGAGGAAAATACGCTAAGTCGTCGACCTCACTCCCCCTTCCCATTCTCAGGCCCTAACCACTGTCCGGGCCGGTCAGTTGACTGGTGTGGGAAAGGGCGCCGTGGCTGACATATCTAGGGACCTTGTCTGCAAACGCCACACGCACGATCCGGCCTCTCAAACACAAGCATCAGGATTTCAAACAACGGGGTTGAGCGGCGTACGTCTCTCAAGAGTGAGAGTGCCGTCGGTCACATTAAGAGGGAGCCGTTTCGGCCTGGCTCCCAGCTCACCAGCCCGCCACTCCACACAAAGGCACACACCTGGACGGACTGTGCGGGCTGAATTGGGACGTCAGTCAGCAGCATTCCCTGCCCTTCAGCTTTGTGTTGAGATGGAGATCGCGACGTTTCCAGACGGCGTTCTGCAGACAGCCGCAGGCTTGGCTGCCTTTGAAAATACGGCGAGCCATTTCATCATCGACTTTGGTGTTACGGGAGAGCGTGCCGCCCAGGTAGATGAAGTTGTCCAAGACTTGCAGTTGGGCGCTGTTCATGCTGATTTGGGGTGCGACATAGGCAGCGTCAGATGGCGGTTGATGCATAACCACCGTCTTCTCCGTGCTGATGACAAGGCTGTAGCTGTCGCAGGCGGAAACGAAGAGATCCATGCTCCTTTGAATGTCCCCTTCCGAGGTGGCGTTGAGGGCATAGTCGTCGGCGAAGAGAAGTTCATGAATGGCAGTTGTGGATACACGTAACTGGAAGTTCATCCGCCGATGCTTGAGAAGGCGACCGTCCGTCCTGTAGGCGATGCGGATCCAGAGACATTCGTCACGGTAGGCGTTCATCAGCATGACAGAGGACATAAGACTGAAGAGAGTGGGCGCGAGAACGCAGTCCTGCTTCACTGCTTTGGTCACTACGAATGCCTCTGAGACAGCTCCATTGTCCCTGACGCGCGCCATCATGCCATCGTAGAGCTGACGCACCATCTAAGTGAATCATTCGAGACAGCCGAATTTCTGCATGATCTTCCACAGTCCTTCGAGATTCACCGTGCCAAAGGTTTTGTCAGATCCACGAAGATAGAGTACATGTGGATCCGCATCTCCTGACACTTCTCCTGCAGTTGAAAAGCGGCAAGGATCATGCCCGTGGTCTCACGATGACGGTGGAAGCCGCACTGTTTTTCCGGCAGAAGATCTTGTTCCAGGCGATTATTTAGGCGGTGGAGAAGGATGCAAACGAAGATCTTCCCGGAAATGTTCAACAGGGAAATACCTCGGTGGTTGTCGCAGATTTTACGGTTCCCCTTACGCTTGAATAAATGGACTATTGTGGCGTCTTTGAAATCCTGTGGGACTTCTCATTGACGCCATATCTCCTGGAAGAGCGCAGTCAAATGATCCATGAGTTGGGGGCCACAGTGCTTGTAGAGCTCTGCAGGAATTCCGTCCGATTCGGGTAATTTCCCGCTAGCGAGCTGCTTCAGGGTCCTGAGGGTTTCGTGGAGAGAGGGCGGGAGTTCGAGGTCCATGTTGGTCTCCCCTTGAGGCAGATGGACGATGGCGGCATCGGAGATGATGGAGGGATGATTGAGGACGCATACGAAGTCCTCGGACCCTCACTGTAGAATCTGTGTCTTCTTGGAGAGTAGGGTGCTGCCATCGGCGCTGAGGAGAGGAGCAGTACCTTTGGTTGGTGGACTGTCGACAGCCTTGATCGCGGAGAAAATGTTCTTCCATTCGTTGTGGTCCGTACATCCTTGGATCTCCTCCGCTTTGCGAGCCGTTCAAGCGGTCTGCATTCCGCGCAGCCGCCGTTGCACAAGGCAGCGACTACGGTAGAAGGCTGCTTTGTTCTCATCGGTGGAACGACTGACGTAGGCTTTGTGCAGGCGGTCCTCCTCCGCGAGCAGTCTGCTGATGACGGCGGCGTCGTTTTCATTGAACCAGTCCCGATGTTGGCGACCTGCGTGACCGAGGGCAGCCAGGGCTGTCGACTGGACTGTGGCCCGCAATTGGTACCATCGGTTCTCAGCGGAGGCGTTTTCGCCGGCGGTGGTTGGAAGGTTGGCTAGCCGTTGAGCTAGCTCGTCGCTCAAATCGAAATGGTTAGCAGGCAAAGACAACAAAGTGGTAATCAGTTCACCTGGGGGTCGCTTACCTTGAGTTCTCCTGCGAGGCTCTAGGCGAATCTGCATCTTCAAGATGACGAGTCGATAGTCGATCCGCCGTCAGCACCTCGAATCGCTTTTGTCCTTAGCACATCCCGCCGGTCTCGCCTCTGGACGACGACGACATAGTCCAGCAGGTGCCAGCGTCGCGACCGAGGATGCATCCAGGTGGCCTTATCTCGCATACGGCAGGCAGAAGTAGTTGTTGGTCAGAATGAGCCGGTGTTCTGCGCAGGTTCGCAGGAGGAGCAGGCCACTGTCGTTGGAGCCGCCAAGACCACTGAGGCGTAGCACTTCTCTTCAGGCAGCATAGTCTGTGCCGACGCGGGCGTTGAAGTCACCAAGGCCAATCAACTTATCCGCCTTCAGTACAGACGTCAAGAGGACGTGCAGTTCCTCACAGAATTTGTTCCTCGTCTCGTCGGGGCTGGTCCTGGGCGGGACGTAGATGCTGATGTTGATGGCGAATTTGCCTTCCCGGAGGGGCAGGCGGAATTTAATCAGACGATCGTTGATGCCCTGCGACAGACAGGACAGTTGTCCCACGATGTCGTTCCGGATGGCAAAGGCGACGCCCGCGTCCCATCGCTCTGTCTTGGGGCGACCACTCCAGAAGAAGGTGTAACCCGCACTCATCTCCTCCAGTTGCCCTTGTGCGGAGAAGCGGGTCTCGCTGAGTGTGACGATGTCCACCCTGTAGCGCGCCAGTTCCTGAACCACTGTCGCTGTCCTCCATTCCGGTCGGTTGCTCCTCGGATTGTCTGAAAAGGGACGAACATTCCAGGCTGCCAGTGTGAGCGGACTCGCCCAACCAGTCTGACGAGTGGGACGGTTGACAAGAGAAGGGGGAAGAGAGAGTGTGCTATTTATTGTTTGGTTGTCTCGAGCGCGAGTTTTACGTCTGCGGCCACGGTTAGCCTGCAGACGGCGTGGTTTCCCAGCATTTGTCTAAGGCCCCTTTTCTAGCCCCTTCCCCATCGCGTGGTGGGCAGTGCCCTTACTAAATGGGGCTGCTCAATTGTCCCAGACGGCTTTCGAACTCCACTAAGGCATCATGACTTTTGTTTAGCGGGAGAACTACCCGACTTGACCTGGGACTGCCTGTGACAACGCCGTAGGACTTGAAGGAGAGGGATGGATAAAGAATAGAGAGACGGGATGCGGAGCTTCCCCGTCCCTTTCTAAGCTTAGATATAAGCGGTGTGCAGACAAATTCTACAGAACGACATTAAGCTTGCAGTAAGAACAAACACAAACAAGCAGACAAAAGCAAGCAGGCAAGAACAGCAAAAAGCAAAGGCAACAGAGGAACTCCAACAGAACAGAATTTAGTTTTCAACAAGAACAAACACAGACATGCATGCAAATAGCAATCCAGCAGAGCAGTGTTCTCTTACCTGGGAGGCACTCACCTTGTGCTCTCCTGCAGTGTTTGCAGACGGAGCCTCGTCTCGGAGATGCCGGGGCGGAGGTCCGTCCTGCCTGCACAGCCGTGTTACCGTGTGCGGAGATGCACACGCAGATACCCTCACCTGGTTTAGCCCATTAAATCTCCTGGTCCAGATGGCGTACTCGCAAAAGTCCTGAATGAACTCGCAGAACAACTGGCCTCCGCTTCTCCAGGATCTTTGAAGGTTCGATGGCTTGGGGGGCTTTTGCCTACGAAATTAAAGTTAGCTAACATAAACGCCATGCATAAAGGGGAGGGATAACCTCACCAAGTAGCTTCAGACCAGTGAGTCTCACAAGCATTTGTTGTAAACTAACGGAGAAAATAATAAAAACGAGACTGCTGAAACATAATGTGGAGAAAAACGTGCTTAGTGCGCATCAGCATGGCTTTAGAGGCGGTCGATTTTCACGGCGGTCGATTGCTTGTATCCTTGGAAAGCTGGACTAAATCTTTAGAAAGCTTTGGAAATGGGCTTGTCAGTGAGTGTTGTTTACATTGACATCAGCAAAGCATTTGACGGAGTTTCAAACAGTCGGCTAATATCTAAACTGCGTCAGATAGGTGGGATCGAAAACCTACTTAAATAGTTGGCCGAATGTCTCACAGGCAGACACCAGCGTGTTCATACTGATGTCGCCAAATTTGAATGGTAAACCGTTCACGGTGGGGTTCCAAAACTGACCATTCTGGATCCGATTCTGTTTTTGATATACGTGAACGACTGCCTTGATTGCATGACCTGCGGTGAAGTGTTGTTCGCCGATGACCTAAAGATATGGAATTTAATAGGAAAGTCAGAGAATGAGCTGAACTTACCAAATAACTTGGACCGATTGCAGCAGTGATGTGATAAGTGGGTCATCAACTTCAATTTCAACAAATTTCAAGTCCTCTGACTACGATCTATTTGACGAAAAATGATGAGATTTGACCATTAGTATTCCATCGGAGACCCCCAACTCCAGCCAGTAAATGAGTAATGGGACCCAGGCGTGTGAAGGATGCCCACTTTCATACCTCTGTCGCACCGCTCCGGGATAGAAAAGAAGGCTGTGTGTATCCTGAGAACGATCAGGTGATTATTCCTCAACTTTGACGAAGACATTTTGGTCGATTGTTTGGAATTTTTATCCGACCGGTGTTAGAGTATGTGACAGCGTACGGGTGCTGAGTCACAATAGTCGACACATACATATACACGCATATGATACTAGGCGAATAACACTCTGAATGCGCAAACGATACAATATTAACTGTGATAACAAATGAGCACGAAAGACAAGGGAAATTGGCAGAAAAAGATTAAATCTAACAAAAAGATCTCAAAGGAGTGCAGCTGGCTGCGGGGAAGAATGAATAACTAAGCAAATGGATTATGATCAGGGTTACGGTGGCTACCCGAGTTGGGAGTGCATAGTGGGAATATGGGAAGGTCACGAGACAGACCGAGTGGCCTAAGTGTCAATGAGTACGATGGTAGGGGTTCCACAAACTGTACCAGCGACTGTTAACAGGGAATCTGTAGATGGTGGGGGGGGGGAAATGAAGGTTAATAGAACGAGCGCCGTCTTACCTAGGGGTTTATTATGACCAAACCTACCGACGCCCTCTTTGAATAGCTGGCAGTACCAGCAATCGTTCGGCTTGTTATATACATGGAAAAGAGGGGGTCCTCGGTCGGGTGTTTGATGTTGACACTGGGGGCTGCTGGGCACGCCATGAGTCTCTTGCTGTGGTGGGCCGACTCTAATATTTATGCCGTTTGTAGGGTCGCAAAGAGGTTTGTTGGAGTTCGGATACGAAATCCTCGTTTGATGGCCTCTGAACGGTAATGATAGCTGAACAAATGCACTCGAAACATTGTGCACGAAGCCCGTCCGGAGTCGGAATCGATTCCGAGAAACAGAGTAATGAGGATGGCGTCCCTACCACTAGACCGCTGACATGCAACAGACGAACGGAAAAAAAGATAATATATGCAGTACACATTGTATAAATAAATGCAGTCTGGGGTTTCCTGCTGTCAAATATCCTCCAGCCAAGCAGACATAGAGTTTGATAACTTTACTAGATATAAAATACGAAGACGAAACCTATGCGACATGTTTTAGACGTCTTCAGAAGGATTGGAGAGGGAGAAGTTGATGAACGGCCTTGTCATTCACCCAAAAAAGAAAGTCGGTGATGTCAGAACTTCTGAAAATAAAAGGAACATACCCAAGTACGGCCTTACTAACTGCATCAGCCGCTCAGAAAGAAGAGTGATCGTATAAGGAACTAATCACAACCGAGAACCGACCTCTAGTGGGGAAAGGGATGACAGGAAGGGGTCTCTGAAAATGCAGAAGCGTCCCAGGGCATCCTTGAAAGACAAAGTAAGCCATACTGTCAATATAATAGAACAGTGTCTTCACACAATGCAAGCGAATACTGCACTGCCCAAGGAGGCATCACATGACCAAGAGGTTTCAGTGGGTGAGGAACAGCGCGGTAGCTATGCCACGACAGCTGTCCTCGAATCGAACGATGATGAAAACGGGAACTGGTGCAATGCAGATTCTGTGCATAAAAATAAACGTCAGCGCCCTCTTCATGATCGCAGTAAAGGCATTATCATAAAACGTACGCGTGAGTCACAAAATGGACATCTCGACCGAAGACGAAATATAGTCATGAAGGAAGCTCCTAAGTCCAGTTTTTCGGTCGCAAAAGAAAGGGTCGAAGGCGATCTCAACCCATGCGAGCATAATCAAATGACATCCTTCAGGATGGAGAGTGTGTTACTGCGCACAAAACTTTCCGTCTAGGAAACGCCGAGGCATCGTGAAGACTACCATCACCAAGGCCTCTTATAATCATTCTTGAAAATGAATTCAAGGATTCACATCTCCTAGAAAGGTGAACGGACCTTCCTCATTCGCAAAGGGAGGTGTTTTTTTAGCCGGATTACGAACCGAAAGAATGGCACAGCATGAAGGAGGAGGACAGACGAGGGGGAGAAAGGACTAAAAATAAGGAGTGGGAAGATAATACGGATCAAATGATCGTTCATGTGGCCAACGCTTTTTGTAATCGTGGCTGGTCCCACCGAAAAGACAGACGCCGGAGTTGATGTACTGAAATGTACAAAGCCCATTTAACAAGATTGGTGAGGCCAGGACTTTGGTCGACGAGCACACACCAGACACCATCGTCTAAACGTAAGCATGGCTTTCTGGAGCTATTGGAGAACACGAGGCACCCCTCGGCAGTTATCAACTGTTAAGAAGAGACGGGAAAAGCCGAAGAGGAGTCGCAATCTATGTTAGCTACAATTTGATCGCGGTCACTTAGCCACATCCCACAACAACAACGAAGGCAGCATTTTTATCTCTCACTATATCCACTACATTCGTCTAACCACTGGCCTTTGCTGTTGTATGTCGTTTTTCAAACCAGACAGTCAACCACGATAGCCTTATCCTAACTGAACTGAACAACACCTGATCTAATAGGAGTGTCATTAATTTTTTGAACTTTAGTGCTCCCAATATCGACCGGCAATCTTGGGCGATTTTAAGTCCACCGGATACACTCGAACATCATTTGCTCAAAATGGCAGCGGAGAAATTATTTTTCCAGAATGCAACTGTTGACAAACGTGTTGGAAAGGGGTAATGCTCAAACTGTCTTGACCTTGTAATCATTCGAGATGGGGGAAGTATGTTAGATGCACAAGGTTTCTCGCCAAAGGGCACCATTGATTATATTGTAATGTTCTTCGATTGCTTCACATTCTCTCAACCCGACTCACCAGGGCGATCGGAAACAAATATCTGAAAGGGAGAATTTTCTATCATGCGAGCGCAAATTTTAACAATACTCTGGACACCCACACTGCAGGTAACAGTTAATGACTACTGGAGTACGTTCAGCTCGTTGGCTAAAAGGATCATTGATATAAACTGTCCATTCAGACGAAAGAGCCAAACAATTGTTCGCCGTGGTTAATCCGAGAAATACAAATCGTCTTCAAGAGAAAAAATAGGGCGTATAAACACTTTTGACTAACGGACAGTTTCGAACACTTACAGGAGTACAAAGGGGAGAAGGATGTGTGTAAACGTGAGGCTAATAGGCTTCGATAAACCATGCACTAGGAATATTGCAGAGCTCTTTGAAGCATTGCAAGATGCTACACCTTTGCATACATAGTAGCAAAAGAAATCATGGCCCGAATCCGAAGCTGGGGTCCAAACGGAATAATAGAGACGGATGACTAAATGAAAGCACAGTCATCTCCAAGTTCTTTAAGTCGGTATTCACTCATGAACGCATACTCCTCCTCTCCCCTAACAACATCAGCAACAAGATTAGGTACTGTTTGCATTATAAAATAATCTCTACTTCTCGCCTACATCGATAAGGACAGAACTTGTCGATGGAAGTCAGCAAAATCACCTGTTCCAGTTAGAATTCAACCAATTGTCCTTCGAGAATTGGCTGACGTATTGTGCGAGCCGGTGCTTATGTTATTTCGAAAGTCCATGGAAGAAAACGAATCACTAAGGGAATGGAAAACTGCCCTCATTTCCCCAACGGACAAAGGATAATCCAGGCTGGATTCATAAAATTAAAGTCTTATAAGTTCAAATTGTTTTTTTTGTGCAGGGTCATGGAGCGAGTAATTAAGGGATATGTACCGATGTATCCGGAACAGCGAAAGCCAACGTGTTGCTCAGCGCGGATTTTGTCGTAGTTACTCACATCTAACGTGGGCGGAAATCGGTTGAAATGATTAGCCGATTTTCTTACGGGCAGATCTCAGCGTATGTGTATAGATAACGCTAAATGTGAACGGACATCCGTTCACAGTGTCATTCCGCAGGGGAGCGTTCTGGATCCAATTCTGTTCGCTATATATGTAAAAGACTGCCTGTACTCTCCGAACTGCGGACACATAATGTTTGCCGATGATATCAAATTGTGGAAATCAACAGAGAAGCCGGAGGACTCTCTACATTTACAAAATAATCCGAATCGCTTGCAACAATTGTGTAATGAGTGGTGTCTTAACCTCAACCTTAACAAATACCAACTTATCAGATTACGGTCCAGTAAAAGGAGGCCGTTGAGATTTGAATCTCACTATTCCATAGGAGGTCACCAACTCAAATCAGTCAACGGGTTAAGTGACCTCGGTGTGTAGATGACGTCAAAACTCAGACCACTGTCTCACTGCGCCAAGGTACCAAAATGGCCATTGGTATTTTATGCGCGATTTGGAGATCCTTCCTCCATTTTGACGAAGGATTTTATGATCGAGTAGTTGGAGCATTTGTTCGACCACTGTTGGGATATTGCGTTCAGGCATGATGTCCCTGGACGAAACAAGATTACATCCTATTGAAGAACCTACAGCGAAGGGCAACTAAACTGGTCGGCGGATTAAGTAGCTTACCCTATGAGAGACGCCTGGAAAATCTGAAAATATTTCCTCTCTCTTATAGACAATACAGAGGGGATATAATCATGGCCTTTAGGATCGTCAGAGGGTTATACTGTGCTGTCCAGGTTGAAGATTTCTTTGAAATGGCGCGAACGATCAGTCTTCGAGACTAGCAATACAAATTGCAGATAAAGTATGCTAAACTTAAAATGCGGGCCAAATTCTTCCCCCACCGCCTAGTTGAAGGATCTACTGCTTTGCCAAGCTCCGTTGTCTTGACAGAAAACGTTGAGACCTTCAATAAAGGACTTCGTAAATTTACGCTTGATTGTCAGACATTTACTCCACGTCAATGACTGACATATCTGTTATGTAAATATGTGATGCTTTTTATACGTCTATCTGAAAATGGGGTTTCCCAAGCCTCTGCCTATATCCTTTATATCGTGAATTTTACTGAACTCTGGTTTGGCGATATCCGTATGGAATCCCTTATGCACTATCGCATGCAGGCGAGTCCCGTCTGACCCGCATACCTACCCCTTCATGAGCGACAACTTTTGACCTGACGATCTCCGTTTAGAATCGGTTATACACTACCACATTCATGCCGGTCATGCCCGCACTCTTATCCGCTCGTGAGCGAGAGTTTTTATCCTTTAAATTTAATCTGATCAAATTTATTTTGTTCATTAGGTAAAGGAATTTTTCACTGCTCGCTAATGATTTTTTGACCAAACTGCTTATTCCAAAGGAATGAATTTAATACTATATGTATTCTGTCTACCTTTTCTAAAATCCATATGAAAGTTAATATTTACTTGCAATGATGGGATCCCCAAGGGTCTTTAATAAAAACAACTATTTATTCATTATTTATACGGGGCTGACTGAACCCGAGTCCGTGAAGGATTTGGTCATCTTCATGTTGATAGTACTTCCTTCTGTGTTGCCGTGTTGTTCGTCGAAAAAGCTAACCCGAGTTTCATCCAAAGTCTCCCCTCGGATATTTGTTCTAGTTTTCCCCACACGACCTTCTGATATCTATGTTGCGCGGCGTAACTGACAGCTTCTGTCGGACCTTTGCAGGCCTCCTGACAGTCTTCCTCCGCTGACCTGCGTGTATATAAGCGGCCTTCGTTGTTTGGGCCGTACAGAAGTACGTGGCGTTGTCCTGGTGTGTTTCCTCGCTCTCTGAAGTCCCTTTGACTTGTCGTCTTCTTCTTCTTCTTCTTCTTCTTCTTCTTCCCGCTCTCTCTCTCTCTCTCATGAGATTAGCTCCATGTCACGCTTAATGCCATGAATGCACTGTCTTCATTTTCAGCGTTTAGTACAATTGAAGAAGTCTTTCTGTCTTATGTTTTTTGTTTTCTGGATTGTTGACTTGACTTCTTCTCTTCATGTAAGTGGTGAGTAAGATTCCTTAACTTCTCTACCTTCATTTTAGACCATTTAACTACTTCTCGTCTTCGAGAGTTTCCGAAGGTTTCCGAAGCATGTCATACAGTTTTCATCGTCGTATGCGACATCCATTAAAATCATTGAACTGTTTAAGAACCATAATACTAATTTTTCAGTAATAATAATTTTTATTCAAGACCCGTGGTGGTCCGGTCATAGCATGTAATAATAAATTTTTACATGTGTTTTAGAACAGGTAGACAGAAGCTGTACAATACTTAATTCATGGTTATTGAATATCTAGTCTGATAAGAAGAATGATAAGCGAGCAGTGAAAAAACTTCTGTCGAATAAAGAAAATGAATAGGGCTGGAGTAAAATTATAGGAGAAAAAAACTGTCGCTCATGAAAAGTTGAAAAATTCGGGCAGGGCCGGTCTGCATGTGGCAGCGTATAAAAGATTTCATGGAGGCTTAAGTATGCGGGTCAAAGAGGACTGGCCATTATGCGGTATTGAGTAAAAGAGTCGAAACGGATATCATCAAGACAGTGCCCAAGGGGCGCTACAATAAACTTATTCTATTCTATTCTATTTCACACGCCAGATGAGGGTATTCACGTCAAAGAACCCATAGAAGAACCCAGAAGCGATTGGTCACAGTCCGCTTCGAGTCCAGCCGAGGAAAGGGCGAGGGAGATGCGAAGAAACTACTAGTAGATGGCGAATAGAGTGGGTTCCGACAAGAGCGTCCACAGACCGCTTGGGGTCGAAATGAGGAGATGACTTTAATGGCTGCAAAATTAATGCTTCGTTGGTGAGGGTTCGAAATCGCGTGGGCCAAAGTGAGATTCTGATGTGTCGGTTATCAGCAAAACTGGGGCGTCTTAGAGCGTGCACGTCAACCTAGCCACGCTACTTTGAGAGAATTTGTCAGGAGGAATATCGTATTATGTGAAGGGCACGACGCATGAACTAAAAAATCGGAAAATCAACATGTCTGATGAAGGATTCTAGGAGGCGATACTAGACACAGAAGAAGGAAATGTGAGCGGACTAGGGAAGGACAACATTCGAACTCTCCTGACCTAATTTTGCTCTGGATGAAGAGAATGTGCTTAGCCTAGAGGAGGGACAACCAATAGGGATAAACGACTGTAAAGGGGTGCATTTCGAGGACCCGTAGTTTTCTATGTCAAATCTGAGTGACACGTGGTGGCGGAAAGTTTGAAAAGGAGAATATCCGCTGATGAGAAGAGAAGTCTGGTGGATTTCGTGGGAAACTAAAGTCTGATACAGTAAATGACCACTGGGGAACTTTCAGTTCGTTACTGCAGAGGATTTTTGACCACAACGGTCTTCTCATAAGAAAAACAATCAATAACCGCCCCAGATAGATTAACTCGTAACATCAGGCCAGCTTTAAGTGAAGAAATCGTCTTTGGAAACGCCATAGGCCAACTAGAACTGAAGAGTACCTACGGGAATATAAGAAGCAATGGAACAATTGTAAAAATGGGCTGCTAGACTTTAGACTAAATTCGACCTGATCGTACGGCAAAATTGACGGAAACAATCCGAAATCTTATATGGATACACACAGAGCCCTAAAAGAAACGGAGACCAAATCCATGATCCTGATCTCCAGATGGGACATTTGACACCGATGAGCAATTTAAAGAATCCATTTCTTCTAATATATTTCAGTCGGTCTTCGCTCAAGAGTCCGGTTATTTTTCCTTCCTTCCACTTGTTTCCCAATCACAGTCCCCTTGCCTTTCCTCTACAGAGGAAGTGTACTTTTAGTCGGTGCTAACAAGCACGAAATTGTCCAGATTTATATTCGCCAAATGGCCTTGTCGTGACCGAATGCCTGCACCCGCATTTCGAGATTTAGCCAATGAACTGTACGAACCAGCACCCATTATACTTCAGAAGTCTTCTGAAGAAGACGAACTCCCGGGAGAGTGACAATGCGATTACTACCGCAAATATTACAGAGGATCACAGAGACACCGGAAGTTACCACCCAGTCTGTTTACCCTGTATCTCGTGCAAAATAATGAAGCGCATTATAAAAAGACATTTGGTGTTTTATCTGGAGGGAGACAACATTTTTGGCGGTGCGCGGCATGATCCTCATTGAGGGCGCCATTATCACATAAGCATTCTTAACCCGTATGAGATATGGACGAGGGCCACAAACAGAAGGAATCCAATATAAGCTGCATATTTTGACTTCGGGAAGACCTAAAATAGTGTACCACACACAGTTTTTTTCACAAAAGATTCGGAGATAGGGATCCAAGGCGAAATATTCAAATAGATCAAAAGCCCTCTGCCCTCTAGATGACGGAGAACTGTTGCTATTAATTATACCTCGGAATGGGTAAGGGTAAAAGTACTGTCCCACGGGGTTTTGCTTTAAGTCAACTAGTCTTACTGGTCTACGTAAATGACAGAGCGAGGAGTTTGGACTGTGAACCTGTCATGTTCGCAGGCAACATAGGGATCTAGGCAAAAGTCGAATGCGCTAACGACATAAAAGGGCTGTGATCGAATCTAGGCAAACTGATAGTCTGTTCGAACATATGGCTCCCCGAGGTTAATGTATCGATATGCGCGCTCCTATACTTGTGTGCCGGTCAAAAAGTATCTCAAAAACACCAGAATTTTATTGGATACAGTGCATTAAACGACATGGAAACGGAAAAAGATCCGTGCACGTAAACTACTGCGAATCCAAAGCTGTTAGACCACTATAAGATTGTCCAGAAGTCAACTAGTAGGCTGCACAGGACTGGGCTGCATTTCTAATATTTCCGCCTAGGACCATTTTTGACCACCGAATGCCAGCCTGGACATCGTAAATGAGGAAGGATTTTGACCTCCTTCAACCGGAGCAGCGAATGACAGCAAGGACAATCACTGGTCTTAATGATTTATCGTACCACGATAAGCCGAAAGAGCTTAACTTACATCCCAAAGTTACACACACTGAAACTTCAGCTTGTTATGGATATTTCGGACTATCCGTGGCCATGGATACCCGTTGAGACCAGAGGACACCTTTAAGTTTGCGCGCACGACCAATCTGCGTGGCCATCAGAACTAGACCAGAAGCGAGCAGGCGTGACCAGGTCTCAGAAGATTTTCCTTCAGCCAACGGAAAGTGGGTTGTTACATAACCCTGCCAACACCTGGTCACACCTTGTAGGTGTGGCCAGGAGTGGCCAAGCGCGGCCATGGCCACACCAAATTTGAAGAAATTTTGGAGGACCTCCCAATCGTGTAGGTGACCACTTCTGCATTGCAAAGTGCTAAATTAGTCAAGATATATCCTACATCACTCATAAAGTACCAGGAATGTTCATATTGTGAGCTGTGGTTATGACTCGAAATAAGCTGATTAAGGTGCTTTGTTTAAGTGGGCCAATTAGACGCCGTTGATCTTTTGCTGTGTCTGGGGTAAGCGTTGCGGTCCTCTCGTCCTGTGATTGTTTATGACATTGACAAGTAATTCGGCGTCCATTTTGTGTCTGATACTTCTTTATTTTCCAAGTTATGCCATTTAGGGTATGCGTTATGCTTACTAAGGTGTAGTAACATATGTATTAGTATAATTTCACTTATGATTTTGCAAACAGTGTTAAAAGTACAAATATTTGGTTGTCGTTGAGTAGTTATTCGTTGCAATGAAGCGTAAGTATTACGGTTTTCACCGAAGCACTATATACAAGCGGCTCTTGCGCCAGAGACGGGCATATTATGCTGCTATGGGGGAGCAACCCATCTCATCAACGTCTTCGGTTGCAAATGAGTCACCGGAATTCCAAATGCCCGAACTAATGTCGGAAGTTTCAACGGGTAGGAGTTGTATGTGCCTAACTTACTGGAATATATAGAACTGCCTGTAGTGACTGGGATCGTGGACACAGTGGAAGGCAGATGCTTGACGACGGATTTGCGCGAATTCTGTTTGAGGGCGAAATTGTCGTTGACCACAGCAAAGGATTTGTTTCAGGTGCTGCGGCACTATCATCCGGAGCTACCCAACGACCCAAGGACGCTACTGCAGACGCCTCGAACTTGCGTTAGCAGGTCCCCGAATAGAGGAAAATACGTTCACCTGGGTCTCGAACGCGGCCTACTCGGCGAATTGCGCCTTTGCCCACTAACGGACATTCCTGAAGTGCACGTTCAACTGCATATTGACGGAATGAAAGTCTTTAAAGAGTCTGCTCAGTGCTTGTGGCCGATCCTTGCTCGTGTTAACCACCCCGTTGTTGGGCAGCCCTTTGTCGTTGGGGTGTTCTGCGGTTTTGGTAAACCCGAACCGTTGGAAGACTTTCTGGGCGATTGTGTTAGTGAACTGAATGGCCTTGTCACCACGGGCCTGCGCGATCCACGTACAGAAAATGTCATCAAAGTGGATTTGCTCAATGTGATTTGTGACACCCCAGCCCGCTGTTGTGTACGACAAGTGAAGGCCCACAATGGCTACTATGGATGCAACAGGTACGCTATTTTGTATTTGCAATCGTAACTGCTGTAGATGCTGTCACAAAGGGAAGCATATTGCGAATCGCATAACATTCCCGCAGTACAGTGGCCGTCTGCGTGATGACAGGTAGTTTAGTTTGCAAAATCAGGGACCGCATCGTAATGGCAGATCTCCCTTCGAGGATTTGCCCATCGACATGGTTTCCTGTTTCCCAATTGACTACATGCACCAAGTCAGTAGGTAGGGGCAACAGGATCAGGTGTGCTACCATGTTATGTAACACTAATTTTCCTTTGCAGACATATTCGCAAACTAAACTCAGACTCCGACGACGAGGACTCGCCAAACCAACCGAAAGAGCCAACTGGTTGGCCAGCTCCACCACCAATACTACAGTAAGTATGACTATTGTAGACAGTTCGTAGGCCAAGAACGGATGAGAATTTGCCACACTTGTTTTCCACTTCGTCGATTGGACCCAGTCAGTCAACACCACTGTCCTCACTTGAGTAGACAACGCTTATCATTTATTACTTTAGACACTCCACGACAATTTCTTCATATGGTTCCACGGCCACAATTTCGACGGAATTTAGCCAGCAGGTGCAAAAGGACATGGCTGACATAAAAGGTCAGTTAATAAACACAAATGTCGGGCTAGTGGCACTTGAGTAAGACAGTGAAACAATCTCCCTAACAAACTATTAGGAAAAGGAACGATTTCCTAGCTGAGCAACTTATGGCTCTTCATAGCAGTGCGCAGCAGATGCAGGCAACACTATCAGATGTTGTCAATGCATTGCAGAGAGCCTCCGGCGCCGGATCTGTCACGTCCTCCTCCCTAAATTTATCGCTGTGTACCGAGGAGGCATATGAAAACTTTCTTCGTCGGCTCAGCGTAGACGACGGTTTTGCAAACGAGGCGGTATGTGCACATAAATAAATAAATAATTTTTCATTAAAGACCCGTCAGGGTCCCATCAAAGAAAGTTAAAATGAATTTACATGTGAGTTTTAGACGAGGAAGGCTGAATCTTTACAAAATGCAATTCATAGTTTCTGAATTAGTAGTCCATTGAGAAACATGATGATTGAGGGGTGAAAAAAAACTCCTTACAAAAAGTTAAAAATGATTGGATTAATTTTACAGGAGAAAAAAAACCCCCAATAAAAATAGTGACAGAAAAAATCGAGCAGGACTGGCCTGTAGGTGGCGGTATACAACGGATTGTTGTCGGTCATCGTCAGGGTAGCAATAAATGTCAGCCTTGAGGGGTACGTATGCGGGTCAGACAGGACTGGCCTGCATGTGGCATTGTATACGGGATTCGCAATTGAGATCGTGTGGGCCGGATTGATACACCGCATGAGACTATTCGCGTCAAAGAGGCCAGACGAGAGGGTCGGCTACAGCACGCTTCGAGCTCAGCCGAGCAATGGGGAAGGGAGGTACGACCAAACTGCTAGCAGACGGTGAATACTGTGGGTTCCGCCGTGAGCGTCAACAGACCGCATGAGGTCGGAATGCGGGAGATGACATCAAAAACCGCGAAAATTTTGGCTATGCGGGAGGAGTGATAGCAGTGGATTTAGAAACCAATTCAAAACAGGGGTTTCTAATGGTATAATTAAGAGTTAACACTTGATCTACCAATAAATCCCAGGAGGACCCTTCTCGAAGTCAAGAATATGAGTGTTCGGGAATGAGACCGCCAACAGAGCCTCTATACTTTCCGGTGTAAGATGTTTGCGTATTTTCGAATTTGATACCCGTAACTTAGGCGATAGTCTAATTTCAGGCGGAAGATTATTCCAAAGGAAGGCATATTTGAAAGCAAAGAAGAGACAGCGCTAAGATGTAATGCAAAGAGGCGATGGAATCACCATACCGGAGTTGCGCGTGGCATAAGACCGATCTCTCGGAGTGAGAGTGTCAATGAGCAGAAGACTGAATCTAGATTTGATGCGAAAAGGAAGCAAAGGCCGGCATCGAGTCTTCTAACCCACAAAAACTTAATGTTCGCCAGCTGACATCTCTGAGTATAAGAAATACTGGACGAAGTTTCAGAGAACAGTTTCCGTGTGAAAACCCTCTGAAAATTTTCGATTTTATTACGGTCGCAGGCGTTCATTAAACCGAAGAAAGGACAACGGTATTCGAGGACTGGAAGAACAAACATTTGATAAATTCTTAGCTTTATTTCCGGAAGGAAAAAATTATGCGATATGAATCCACATATCTGCGCGGCTTTGGCAGAGATTCTATCTGCATGAGGTGATAAAGCAAGCTTATTTGTATAACTTAGACCTAGGTCCTTTATGGTGAGGCATTCTGAGAGTGGGTTATTCTGAAAAATTATGGGACCAGGAAGTTTGGTAGGACCAAAAGACATGAAACTACACTTGGATGATGAAAACTCCATCTGCCATGTCGAACCCCATCTGCTTAAGCTTAGTAAATGGGCGTTAATTTTTTCACCAAAAACGTTTGCGGTGTCCTTAGAATATGAGTAAACACGCCTGAGGTCAACGGCATAACTAAAAGTTTGCAAATTTCCGAGTTCAGTCGAAATATCATTGATGTACAAAAGGAAGAGTAGCGGACCCAGGACCGTGCCTTGAAGTACGCCACTCGTGATCGAGTGGGGTTTCGAGTAGCTATTACCGACCATGACTTTCTGATATCGGGTGGACAGATAGGACCTGATGAAGTCGAGTAGAGGCGGCCGGATGCCAAGAGCTTCCAATTTTACTAAAAGACGTCTATGGGCACCTTGTCAAAGGCTTTGCTAAGATCGAAGTAAATAACTACCACTGACTGCCGCTCATTACGAAGAGAAGTGATTAGATTAAGATCCGGCAACTGGCCATGGTAGGTGGTCGAAATGAGGAAGACTTCCTCAGAAACCTACTGACGGTTCTATTGGGCCCGCCCTCATGCCACAACTTCTGTTGGGCGGGCGGATCCAAGGAGAAGAAGTCCTTCATGGCCTGTCCACTTTTTCCTGTCCTTAAAGGTAAGTGCAATTTTTGTTTATTTTCACGCGCAGATGCCATTGCCTAACATCCTCGTTTTGGCAACTGCACTATAGAGATATTTCGACGGACAGAAATCAGGTGTTTTCATGGATCACAGGATCGGGACGGAGGAAGATCGACACGTCGGCGGAACATTCGTCAGGCACAAACTTTCGGGATTTTCATCCACATTTATTTAGACTACAGAAATCACCATAACTGCCGCCACATGCCCACAATTATCCCCCGCCAAAGAACCGGTAAGCAAATTTATCGAATTGCCAATCCTACACAGCATGCTATTTACTCCATGTGATTTTTACTATTAAAATTGTACGTATTGGATACAGTGTATCATTACCTCCGTTGCGCCTGCATTACGGATGTCTTACGAAAGTTTTTTTATGCAGGAATATCAATGGCCAGTGAAAGTGACTTCTCATCCTGGATACGAAGGTCGCTGAAACCCCCATGATCCAAGACAGACTTTGTACATTTACATTTTTTGACTTACGTATTCAATAAATCGTCCTTCCACAATACGGCCTTCCGACTTTACCATCTTCGGTATCCGCGTTTGCCCTGTAGTGGGCCACATACCGCCGTGGCCTATCTTGCTTGGGACGTGGAGGTTCGCTGTCACTCGTTTCGGGATTTTACGCTAGGCGACCATTCGTCATTGTTGGCGTTTACGGCCAAAAAAATCGAGGCCGCGATGAATGGAAAAAACGAGAAAAAGTCCGCACGCAATTTTTTTTCAAGGTGTGGTCAAGTGTGGCCAAGTGTTGATGGCCACACCATAGCCACACCATTTGGCCACACCTGGCCGCACCATAGCCGCACTTGGCCACACCATATTCGCCTCGGCCAAGTGAGGCTGGTGCTGACAGGGAAGGTACCATAACCCACTAGGCATGTGCACGAATGTTGATGTTCATTCACAATGTTACGCTAGTGCCGCAAAATTTTCACATAAATGTGGAAGTAGCACTTATAACCGGAACCGGAGTGAATACACCCCTCCATAGAATGATGAAAACTACCAAACGACACAGAAAATGAACCGTGATAGCCATTCAGAGATAAAGTCATACGGATCAGCGTGTAACTCAGCAGCCAAGTGACACTAAATTTTTTATGGTTTCGTTGGGACGAAGTCGATTCGACTGTTGGGTCATTGATTAAGCGCTCATAAGCGTCTGACATGTGCGCACTGAAAGCCTCATATGTAACAGTCACAATAGGTGAATCTGTCAGCGATGGAGGACAAGACGAATATACTTCTGTTAATTAATTTTCAGAAATCGATTATTATACGCGTTTTGTTAACACATTCTCGATGGTTGTGAATGCTGTTCCTGAGAAAGGCTAGAGTAGGACATTTATGATGTGCATTATTTTCCAGCATGGTGATACACGCCATATGCAAGGCCATCTTCAGAGACAGCGAGACCTCTAGTAAGTACATTAAGTCGTCGGAAGTGTTGGTTACGACATTCAAGCAGCTCATTTATAAGTCGTCGGAATACGCGATTATTGAAGAGAATACTTAGTCCCTTATTTCAGCCGTAGCAAAATTATATGACAAAGGTTAGAAATTACTTCAACAATACTCACATGCAAGTCTTCCTCGCATCACATTTCTACGTTTTATATTTTTTTCGCTCATGAGTACACTCCAACATTGACGACTTTTTGAAGTCCAAATACCACTGATTCTGTCATGACACTTTTAAGATTGTGTTTTGAAATTCCGTCAATTATTCTCTTTTTGGTTGTACTCACCTGATTTTATTCAGCCAAAGCAACGGTTTACTGATGCCCAGGACCGTAGAAATCTTAGCCGAAATTTTTAAATCCATGACTGATCCCCGTAATAACTCTGACCCGTCAAAGAAACTTTGTAGGAAGTTCGGGAGTTTGTAAAGTCCGTTCAAACAAAAGCGGGTGGATATCCCTTAAGACATCGAAAATATAGAACAAAGATCACTATCCTCGTCATCCTATAGTTTTAGTTTTCTGAAATGGACCCACAAATTGTGAAAATTCGTCTTGGATAGCCCACTGAGACACGATGTCGGGCTTAGTCCCACGGTTTGTCCGCAGTGCTAGGAGGCCAGTTTTTCATCGCAATCCACGAATCTTCCCTCCATCTAAAAGTATCCTTATACTTGAACGTCATTTTCAGGCAAACTGCTGCGCGTTAGACAACCAACACCCATCGATCCCGTCGAGGATGAGCTTCTTCAGAAATGGTGGTCGGATTACAAGCTGCAGACCGTGGCCATAAAGTATGCTGCACTTTGACCAAAAATATTCCCAGAAATCTTCTTCGAACCACATTTGCATTAAAATCTCCAGATTCCCGCCAGGAAACTGTTTCGGAGCAGGCGTTTGACCCTTCGTTGGTTTTAATAAACGACGAATGGAACCGTGAGACTAAAAAGCTGCGTGAAGAATATTTCGTTTCGCATTTTTCTGAAAAGATAATGGAGCATCTTACCCGTCGACAGGAATATGATGATAGGGAAAAAGCGCGCGTTGAGAAACTCAAAGCAAAGTTCCTCTCCATGCTCGTAAGTTGTTCTTGCCGACCTACATTACCCGGAATCGTCATGCACTTCGGTGGATTTTGAAAACTTTTAAATGCCTAGATAGTCAAGTAATGTTTTTGTGCCTTTTTTACTCTGCACCTATGTTGATTCTGCCTATTTTGCATTATAGGAAGAGCCAGACCGTATGGTTACCATCGAAAATATTGACTCCAGATTAGACGAAGTCATGAACTCCCAACCCCTGGACTTCAATTATGCCGTTGATAGCTCTGGGAGACCCCTTAAACACTTGAAGGCATCCGCGGACAGCCAGAGCCCCTGACAGTCCCTCTCGTGGCTGTTTTTCTTCGGACGTCAGTTCCCCCTCACGCCTGTACATAATATTCTGGGATCATGATGAACTGGAACTTCCTTTGTACGTAGATTGCCAGTAAAGGCGATAAAGCACCTGCACGTTTCAAATGTTACTTCAGAGAACTGCGACTATCCTCGGTGACACCTGTGGGCGCTAGGTTATCTAGCTTTTATTCTCACTCAAAGTATCGTCCCCATAACTGTCTACTGCCTGTGCGTAGTAACTTCTCAGTGAAAATTGCAACAGGTTCTCTCGACGGATAAAATGGACTTGCTTCACCGGTGATCATAAAACTAATCTGTATTACGGGGCTTCTGCGGGACAGGAAAAAATACTTTCAGCGATTTCCCTTGTACCGTCCTTATTACAGATGCAACGATTTGTTCGAGTCCTTTGAACCGATTTGCTTTTTGCATACGTAACTCGCAAATCAAGTTATTTGCAAATCCCATGTTCCCAACGTGCTTTAAAGTTCTGGAAGCTATCAAAATTGATGACTTATCCTGAAATTCTCCCCGTTAACTACGCAATCCGAGCACAATTCTCACGGGTGTATTTGAGAAAATGCATCATAAGAAGACACGTTCTAAGTGCTGCGGGCAGTTATTCACCCCACGTCGCGCACTTGAGCGCCGAAATCTACAGATTTAGTGTTAAGCGAGCAATAAGCTGTCGCCTTGTTCTTTGTCCCATTGCCCGATGCGTTCACCGGCATTTGAACCTCGCGTTCATACCTGCTTGTTTCTGTGAAGCTCTCCGCTTGTTTCGATACTCGAAGCATATTTTCGGACTTCTTCAGCTGAGTTCTGCATAATCGTCGTTTCTTATGACGCTTACTTTCCGAGAGGCCTGTAAATAATATTTTTGGGATAAAAACTACCGAAATCTACCCGCTGCACGACAGGGTACACTTACAGAGCTGCCCTCTGCAGATGGGATTCAGGATTCATGAAATGTCACGTCTGTGAAATACCAGATCAGGTTATTAGGTGGGAATGATTGGCCGGAAATCAGTTTAGACCAGTCATTTGTGAGCTGACACATCGATGTTGACGTGTACCACATTGCTATGTAAAATAGATCGACTGGCGCACGTTGATAATACCAGAAGTCCTGCAGTTATTTGCACACGACCACTATGTCGGAAGATAGTGTTGCAGGACCAACCCTTGGATGGGCTGCAGGCTCAGTGTCCGGACTAGAGTCGGAATTATTGGGCATCATCGTTACCTACCCCTGCACTAACTGTCAGTGACCAATCTCATGAAATGCCAACCAAAATTCTGAAATAAGTTTTCAATCAAGGGGGCTTACTTAAGTGACTAGCATACAGCCCAATCCCAAGATATTTCAGTCCCACCAGGACGTCAAGCTTCTGATGCACTTATTTTCGGCCGTCTGCTAAAATCGTACTAGAGGAACATGACTACTTAATCAGTGTTAGACTTTTGCTTTTCTATGTCCTTGTCGATTCGAATACATATCACAGGAAACATGCTCAAAATATCCTTTTCTGTACACTTCTAGTATCAAATTACGCTTTCAGATTTTATACTAGGACAAAGGACTTATCTAGGCTTTTAAAAAAGTTGCATAATTCCCGGCTAACTTCGAACCTGACCTACCGTTTCACTTTTGTTTAGGGTTTTCAAATTACAGACTATACTTTCTATGTAAAAAATCTCACATTCCTTTGTGCCATTATACAATATAGGGCCCGTAAAATTCTGCAATTGACGTGGACTACTTTTTATGCTTCGTAAGGAGCGTTAATAAAAGGACAGATATGATGCTGTTTGAATAGATATCTCAGTCCCTGAAAATTTAATGATTGCAAATTTCTTAAAATCTGAGTGTTACCTTTCTGCACGTACAATATTCGAAGGAAACGCTTTCTGCTACCAGATGGGTGCAAAAGTGGTGTTTTCGACCATGTTTTCCACAAAATGTACTTTGATTTATAGGGACATAGAAAATAAATAAGGACGATGGACACTACTTAAGTAGCTGTTTTCATCGAGTGCGGTTCTTGCAGCCGGCCGAAATAAGGACATTCAAAAGTCAGCATCCTGGCATAACTGAGATGTTTTACGATTGGGCTGCATGCTATAAAATATTTCAACCCCACTTAAGTAGTTCTTCCAAACTGAGAACGCAATAAAGGGTTTCAGTTGCTATTTCATGGAATTGGCCAATCAGATGTTATTTCACAACTCCGTAATAGGTGATGTCCATTACTCGTTGGATCCGGGAAGCCGTTCGATCACATTTTCCAGCGAACAAAAGTAGGGGGCATCACAGATAACACTGGAGGATAGTGTGTTTTTTTATCTTATACTAACTTGCCAGAGACGTGCCCACACCCGAAGGACTGATGTTTCACATTTGCAAGTCCCAACTTCTTGGTTTTAAGCTTTACTCGGTATGTTGTTGAAAAATATCCCCGTCGCTGTTTTAACGCAGTTGCACTTTATTTGTCCATGGTGTCTTTCTGAGGCCGGTCAGCAGGCGAGATCCTACGGTTTGTATGGTGGCTTGTTCATCGTACCCGATGATTGCCATCACCAGTAAAAGATTTTGGATTGGGTGAGTAGTAGAGAGTTCCAACGGACCTTAGGGCGGATGTCTAGGCGTTAGAATGTATTCTCGATAGCTCTGAATTCCTGCTGAGAGAAGGTATTCTGAAGTGTTATTTTAATTGTCTTTGTCAGAGCTGCTTTTTGCTTATATCCCCGGTCGCAATGCGACTGCCTGAAAGGACTCTACATTGAGCCCCAGGGTACGACAGAACCAGCGGGTGCTGTAACCCAAATGGTAAACGCACCCCCAGCATAAGTTGAAGGGGTACAGTTGCTGCTTTCCCACTCCTCTCACGAAGAATACGGGAACTGCGGCTAGAGCGTCATGCAGGGAAACAGTCATGCTTGACTTTAGTACCCTTTTTCTACCTTGGAAAATGGACGAAGGACCGTTAGAAAGGTGACTCTGCGTCATAGCAAAGAATTCAGTTAAGTAATGCTATTTATGAATGTCCAATATGATGAACATGAAAACGTTGGGAGGGCCAACCTAATAAGTAGGTGATGCCAGAGCTCGAGCCTTATGTTCGCCTCGAACCTTTTTGCTGTAAAAAAGTCCCCGATTTTATGCCATGGTCTGGTGTTCATCAGACAAAACTTGCTTGCGGTCCCGGATTTTCTTATGATTGCTTCTTCCAAGAACTGACGGATTTCCACAGATGGTATTGATGATCAAAAGTAGGAAGAAAGTAAAAATGCGTCGCCCACGTACTCATGGTGCTGCTCTTGGAAACTAACTTTTGTTCTGTGCCTTCTTGTAATGCGCGATAGGATCGTGTAAACCTAGGTCCGCAGGTTGTGACGCTGCCGCTTTGAGTTCTGCTCTGCTCGACATCGGACTGCACAATCTCTTCATCTGACAGTTTGGCAGTTGGGTTATAAGAGGCCACAGGCCTCTCTTGGTTTGCCGGTCGTTGGCTTAACATCCTAAACTTACAAAAGGGCCTCCACTTTGCATTCAACATGACAACTGGCCACACTGGCTTATGACACTATTAACGGTCTGTGCTGTCGCACCTGTCCTTAACGGGGACTGCACATGCATGTAGCGCACAGTAGACGGAAGTGTTAAGTCGTGTCAGTCACTGCGCTCTGTCCTATCCGAAGACAGCCTGACTCAGACCTGCGTTAGGGAAGGGCTAACCATGCCGATCAGGAGGAACCTTCTTCACATCGTCCTCACGGATACTGCTTTCACTATAAACACCCTAACGCGTCTCAGACTATCAAGATATACGAAAATCATGATATGGAAGGCTGCCAACTGACGGACTAGCTCTGTGCTTGTCCGGCCTGGAACTGCACTGACCGACCCCCCAACTATGGTCTTAATGGCCACTTTTAAATTATATCCAACACCCCCTCCTCCTTGCAGTGGGGTTCGTGTGCGTGTAGGGGCCAACATGTCTGACATGCGCAGAGATGGTTATAGCCTCGTCGGGCACCGTGTCCGCGCTCATCTCCAGTCGCTTTGGATCTCCCGCCACTGTATCATGGCGGGTGGACGATGTAGGAGCTACGAAAGTCCGCTTTAAGAGGGCTCACGCGCAATTCGACACTGCGCACACCGCGATAGCGTTCGCAACAGATTCTTTCGCTGTTAGATACCACGACAATCACAGCATCCCAACTGGTATTCGTGTACTTCACCTCCGTTCAATCTTCGACTTTCTGTCTAGTGGTAAGCTTCTTCAGCGCTAAGGTCTGTACCACCTTAATTTTTGAGCTCCCTATTCAGATGCACCCGATTTATTCCGAAGACTGCGCTGTCAGAGCCGAAGAAGCCGAAACCGCCGCTGCAGATTAATAAAGTTGGCGTCATCTGTAGATCCAGTTAGTAAAACCATAAAGTCAAAGGCAAAGTCTTGTTTAATTGACAAATGAGGGTACAGTCTTAGACTATTTGTGGTAGGCTAAAACTATCAAGAGTAAATTGTCTCACAATGCTCTTGGCTTGGACGAAATGTTTTTTCATCGAAAGTGAGCAAGAAGCGGCATATGAGACAAATGAGGACTCGGGACGAAGAAA